GGAAGTAGATTGCCCAGTCTTCCTTCTGAGGAGTGGCTGATGGGTTTGAACCGCTAGACTTCTGGTTAGTAGTCAGATGTCTTAGGTACTACTCATGTCCTCCCAAAATATGTAAATCCTAACTCTCATACCTGTGGTTATAATCCCATCTGAGAATGGGTTTTATATGTTATATTAATGAGACAGTATTAGTGTTGGATGTGTCTTAAATCAATCTCTTGAGATGTGAAAAGAGCAGATTGATCAGAGAACCAAGCAAGCAAGCAAAGATGAGGGACGATAGATACCATGCCTCATGAGATCTCCAAAGAGCCAAGAAGCAGAAACCAAAAAGAGACAAGAACCTTCCCCGAGAACCAACAGAGAGAGAGCTTTTCTCTAGAGCTGGTGCCCTGAATTTGGACTTCAAGCCAGTGGTGTTACTAGCGTTGGTGTCACTCAGTGCAGTAACTCACAATGTCACCACTGCATGGACCACATCCCATACAAAATCCTCAGTGATGTTTATTACCAATTTAAATCATAAATTACGTGATAAATGTAGTTATAAATTGCTTAAATGTATTTCTTAAATTATATGAATACTAACAAAAATGGTTTTGTAAAATCTTTCTACATTGAATTATAGCATTTTTAGTTATAACATTATTAGTAACTGAGCAGAAACTTTTTTTGTTTTTCTCCTTTTCCTTTAATCACTACTTCATTTTTTAAAAAAAGGTTATTGATAAAGATTCACAAATACTACTTACTACAATATTTTAGCTAAAATATCAGAAAATCACAAAATCAGTGACTATAAAAACACTGGCAGCAAGGAAAACAGCAGCATGTGCCTGTAGTGTGTGCAGAAGTCATGTGATTTGAAGCATCACTGTAATTGGGTAATAAGACAGCTGTGGCTGGAATGCATTGGAAGTTTCAAAAAGTAAATTAGCATAGAGTTTTAGCCTTGTAGGTATATTGCTACATGTAAACTGGGCTTAAGAAAAATGTTTTGTTGTTGCAAGTAACTACAGGGATATTTTTATAAAAATAATAAATTTCTGTTGGAACACTTGGCAAAAATTTTATAGACAGTCCCTTTGGTGCCACCCTTTCTAACAAGGTGATTTGGTGTGGTCTGCAACCTTCTGACTCCCCCCTAGTGAGGCCACTTCTTCAAGCCTCCTAAAACCAAAACAAACCCATGGCCATGTTGGAGTCAATTCCTAGTCATAGTGAT